ACCTTGGGGACTTTTTCTGATAAATCGCTCTCAGCTCCACCCTGCAGGCGTCGCACGGACGCTGAGGATGGCTGGCTTCTCTCCGCCGCCCCAGAAGCCCTCTAACCCAAATTCTCTCTCCTCCCCCCTTATATGTCCAAAGCCCCTTAACCCCCGGGTCATATGACGTCATCCTGCGCATTCAATCCTCTTTGTGGCCGTTTTGAGCGCTCTGGCCGGTGGGGGGGGGGGGGGGGTCGCGTCATCCCCCCCTTCCCATTGTCTCTGTGCCTACATTCATCGGGTACTGGCTGTTCCCATCCCCCCGTGTTGTGTATGCTTCATCGCGGCTGGCCTGTAAAGCTCTATGCCCCCTTTTGGGGGGGGGCACCATGTAATCCGGTCTGGGGGGCTCAGACAATTTCCTGGTCCGGGGAAACCGTGGAACGTCCCTGCTAGTGGAGTTCTCAGGTGAAAACCCATCGTACCAGGTGATCCCTCCTCGAGACCCTACGGGAGTGCATGTGAGTGTTTAGTGGGGTGTGCGTGCGTTCGTGGGGGGGGGGGGGGGGGGGTGCGAGGAGCGGGTAGCGCCGGCCGAGCTGCTCCGCTGCAGTGGCACCACACAACGACGCTCGTTGAGGTAATCGCTCGCAGGTGTGGGCGCTAGCGTGCCGCTGTCCGCTGCGGTAGCGTTGGCTGTGGTGTGCGTGGGTGCGTGGGAGTTAACTCTGCGGCGGTGAGCCAGCAGTACAGCGATGTCCCTCAGAGGGGGCGCTAGCGCGGGGGGCCCGATCACTCGGTCGGCGGGGGCCCGGCGGGAGCCGACCGACGCGGTGGAGGGAGAGGAAGGGGCGACGTCGCGCCTCACCTGCCTAGCGAGGGCGGTGGGGTGGACGTCGGCCCCCCACACGTTCATACATAGACGCGGAGCTACGAGGATAGGAGCGGTGGCACACTGTGCGTGTAGCGATGGGCACCCACTCGGCTCTTGTAGCTGCTCCCGCCGCTGCTGCCCCTGCTGCTGCTATCGTCCAGAGCCGTGGCGAGGCCGCTCATGCCGAGTGGACTGCAGCTGAGCCACTTTTTAACTTCGAAGCGTCATTCGTGCCGCAAGCACTGCGACACACCCGATGCAGGTGTCACGTACAACTCCAGGGTTGATTAAACAAGTTTGTGCGTGGGTTAGATGTAACCTACATACAACTGTTGACTCGTTATGTTAGTCGTGAAAGCAAGCGTATAACATTAATTCATTAATTAGAGTTATTACGGGATTAAAAAATTAAATCTAGATTGAAAACTAATTTATTTTTAGAACTGCTTTTTTGTGTTGAGCTTGTTGTCCTTTCCGCGCGCCTCCGATTAGCATGGTGGGCTACGTACGGTGCGAAAGAAGTTCAACATGCTTACAAAGTGATCATATAACCTTATGGTAGGACCTCTGGGTCCCGAATAAACAGAAGTCAAAATCGTAATTAGTGAATTTATTTTTGGCGACTCCGTCCCACCGCGCACATAAACCCCGCGACCCACCTGGCGCGGATCGTTCTGTTGTCCAAGCGCAGCGAGGACGAATGCGCAGAAGAAACAAAACTTTTAAACTTTGATTTCTCTTCTTTGGTTCTTTCGGTAAAGTCACGTAGAATGAGAATAAAATAATAAATTGATAAAATAAAATAACACAATAATATTCTCACGACGTTGATTCGCGCATCGTGTAGAGCTCGTCGAGAGGAATAGATTGCCGTGTCGTTCGCCTTCAACAGACATACAATTACATCGCATAGCAGTTTATGCGAGTGGCGGGGGCTTATGGTACCCCGGGGTCCTGCCGTAAGGGGCCGTCCATAAATGACGTCACACACCTAGGGGGGGGGGGAGGGGGGTCAGACATTTGTGACGATGTCTGACGAGAGGGGGAGGGGGGGTTGAGAAATGTGACGTTACATCAAAAAGCACAACTTTAAATAAATATAAACAATAGAATTGTTATAACAACACTAATTTTGATAAATTTTCATTATTAACTATATTATTATTTATATTTACTTAGGTCACCTTTCATTTATTTCATGAAGGAGCATTTTGCTTCTCCATGGGAGAATGGAGAAGCATACATTTTGTAAAATGTTTGAATTATTGTTATTAAACATTTTTATTTAAATTATTTTACCAGGGCTTTTCATTCTGTGGAATTAATGTGATTGTTATAATTGTACTCTCCATTTTGCTTTGTTCTACTACAAAGTTTCAAGTATTTTTTCATAGTTATAGTTACTTTTAATATTTTATAATTATAAGAGAATTTCAATATAATATTCTGAACATCTGCAGTTTTAGTTAGACATTGAATTTTTTCAAGTTAATTTTATGCTAAATTTCAGCTTTCCAATGTCACCTTTTTAATACGTGTTTTCTCCTACAACATCAGAGTGCAGCGCCACATTAAATACGCACTACAATGACAATAGTTTAAAGTGATTTGAAGCATGTTTTATTTTCAAAATGAAAATATGGTTTTGGGGGGGGGGGGGGGTGCAGAGCTTTGTGACGTCATATTTGAGGGGGGTCTGACACCGTGTGAGGGGGGTTTGTGACGCTGTGTGACGAGGGGTCAAAAATCGGCCAAAACCGCGTGACGTCATTTATGGACGGCCCCTAAGGTCATAATTCCCGATCATACTCATATCACGTGATTCGTGTAGCATCGTCTTACCAGTGATATCGCAATAATCGTTACATCGTGATTGATATCGTATCGTCTCAATGGTTATCGCGCGGCGAGTTCGCCACTAGGGGGCGCGATGCCCACGCTGCTTGAAGCACAGGGATAGAGGCGGCTTGGCGAGGCCTTCATCCAGCAGTGGATTGAGCGTGGTTGAAGACGCATTATTGAATCACAGCCACAGCACGCACAGACTCTTAGCTACCCCACACACACACACAATCATCCAGCAGTGGATTGAGCGTGGCTGAAAACGCATTATTGGATCACAGCCACAGCACGCACAGACTCTTAGCTACCCCACACACACACAATCATCCAGCAGTGGATTGAGCATGGCTGAAGACGCATTATTGGATCACAGCCACAGCACGCACAGACTCATTGCCATTCTACAGACACACACAATCATCCAGCAGTGGATAGACACGGCACTGGATGTGCACGCGCAGTGTCTGTGACCGTGCACGCGCGCTCTGCGTGCAGCAGCGTGGAGTCACGCGTGGGGCAAGAGCCGTGCATTCAACCTCGGAATTACATAACCACAACAACATCAATCAGCAACAACAATCGGCCACAACAATCGGCAACAACTATCAGCCGCATGGGCGTGGTTGAACCCAGGGCCGCCGAGTCGCGAGCGCAGATCGCCTCCTCCACGTGCGTGCGGTTACACGGAAGGCGACCACGATATATGCTGCTGATGATGTTGCCCACGGTGATGCTGATGATGCCCACGATGATGCTGATGACGCTCGCGGTGATGCTGATGATGCTCAAGATGATGATGCTCGCGGTGATGCTGATGATGCTAACGGTGATGCTGATGATGCTCAAGATGATGATGCTCACGGTGATGCTGATGATGCTCACGGTGATGCTGATGATGTTCAAGATGATGATGCCCACGATGATGCTGATGATGCTCGCGGTGATGCTGATGATGCTCGCGGTGATGCTGATGATGCTCGCGGTGATGCTGATGATGCTCAAGATGATGATGCTCGCGGTGATGCTGATGATGCTCACGGTGATGCTGATGATGCTCAAGATGATGATGCTCACGGTGAGGCTGATGATGCTCGCGGTGATGCTGATGATGCTCAAGATGATGATGTTGCTCGCGGTGATGATGATGCTGATGATGTTCACGATGATGATGTTCACGATGATGCTGGTGATGTTCACGATGATGGTGATGTGGACTGGACATTCCTACTCATGTTACCCTCCCTTTCTCTCTCTCTCTCAATCTCTCTCCCTCCTCTTCATCTCTCTCCCTCCCTCCGTCTCCCCTTCCATCTCTCCCTCTCTCTCTCCCTCGTTTTCCCTCTCTCCCTCCCTCTCTTTCCTTCCATTCCTCCCTCCCCCTTTCCCTGCACGGAATGGTCGCTTCTCTCGTCTGCCGCCCTCCCCACGTCTCCCAGACGCGAGTGTGTTCGTGCCCACTCACTCACGCACGCGTGACGCAAGCAATCGCGTGCACGTTCGAGGCGAGCTCTCTTACGCAATGAGGTGGCCGGCACACGCTCTCACACACATACAAAGATCCTCCGCATAGCCTGCGCAGACTTTTGGGGCAAGTGCTGTTAGCGAGCATCTATGTAGGTCGGCACGGCACACGAGAGGGTTGGTGGCCAACACCACGCCCGGCCGCCTTTGTCTCCCTCATTTGAGGCTCAGGACCGGCTCAGATAATCGTCACTGTTGTTGGCTATGAGCTGGGATCGGACTCGGGTCACCGGGTTCGTAGCACAGCGCGCTAACCGTTGCACTACTGCTCCCCATGTGTGCAGACATGCGCGTGCAACATACGTGTACACATGCATGACACGCTTGCTCACACATACCCATATACGTGCACGTATACAGAAACGTATACATATATAATACACACGCGCATACTAACACGTGTACACATGGACACACCTAAACACACGTGTACACACGGACACACATACACATGCATACACGTGCACACATGTAAACACACATACACGTGTACACACTGCCATACACGTGTACACACTGACACCACTACGCGAGCTATGTGGCACCACGAACGCCGTCATTTTACCAACAACACTCACTCTGCAAAGATGTACACACACACACAGACACAATCACACTGTCAAACACACACACACTGCCACGCACACACACGCGCGCAGCCACCCACATTGCATGCAGACCTCCTCCACCCCCCACCCCTCCCCCATTCCTATCCCCCCCACCCCTCTGGCCCCCCCACCCCCACGACCCCCACCCAACATCACAGATCGGGGGGCGGGGGTGGGGGTGCTGCTGCTGCTGCTCGCCGCGTTCAGCGGCGGCGGCGGCGTCTCCCTCTCGGTGCGGGCGCCTCTCTGCAGTCTCCTCCCAGCCCCGAGCCGCCCCCCACCACCGCCTCCTCCTAGGAGCGGCGTGAGGATTCGGTGGGGGCAGGTTTATTTTCCCCGTTAACAACAACGGCATCAGCAGCAGAAGCATCGCAGGGATTGCGCATAAATAGTGTGTACTGGAGCCGGAGCTCGTGGGCTCGTTGCCGATTGTGTATATTCTTTATTTATTGAGTAATTGTATTTTTTTTTATGAAATAGATAGACGTGGCTTAGTGTGTGTCGGTGAGCGTGCTGGTGAGTCTGTCGGTATCGACAGGACCCGGCGGCCGGCGCGCGCGTGCGCGCACACCGCGCGCGCCCATGTGATCCCCACGGATGATGATGATGCCTATGGTGATGATGATAACGACGATGATGAAGACCGGGATGACGCTGATGATGATGACGACGCCTGTGCAGACGCTGACGGCGATGGTGACAACCACGATTCCACCACCATCAACAACAACAGCAGAGGCGGCATCGACAGCGTAAAAAAAAAACAACCGCACCGAAACTCGGGCGACCATGACCGCGCAGCGGGCGTGAGCGGCTCCGCATGCATGCGGCGCTCGGCCGGGCAGGCATGGAGCAGCAGCAGCAGCCTCAGCAGCAGCAGCAGGCGACAGGCAGCAGCAGTGGTAGCAGGGAGTGCAGTGGCGGTCATGAAGACGTGCGCAAATGCGGCTATCTGCGCAAGCACAAAAGCGCGCACCGCCGCTTCTTCGTGCTGCGCGGAGCGAGCGACGCGGGCGGCCCGGCCCGGCTCGAGTACTACGACAGCGAGAAAAAATTCCGCGGCGGCGTGGCGCCCCCGCGGCGCTCGGTCAGCCTCGCCGCCTGCCTCGGCATCATCCGCCGCGCCGACGCCAAGCACAAGCACCTGCTCACGCTCTACACCAAGGACGAGTGTCTCGCCATGGCCGCCGACAGCGAGGAGCAGCAGGCCGAGTGGTACGCGGCGCTCACCGAGCTGCACGACGAATGCTGCAGGGCGCCGCACGGAGCAGGGGGAGCGGGAGGAGGATGCGGAGCGGCGGCTGGTGGTGGTGGAGGAGGAGGAGCAGGAGGAGGGATTTTCGGCGCGGCCAGCGATGCGGGCGGAGGAGGCGGCGACAGCGGCGAAGACGCCGGGCCCGCGGGGTGCGCGGGCGGCAGCTACGGAACGATGCCGGCCACCCCCGTGTTCAAGGAGGTGTGGCAGGTGAACCTCAAGCCCAAGGGGCTGGGGCAGACGAGGAACCTGACGGGCGTGTTCCGCCTCTGCCTGGGCACGCGAACCATCAGCTTCGTGAAGCTCAACGCGGACGCGGCGGCCGTGAACCTGCAGCTCATGAACATCCGAAGGTGCGGCCACTCGGAGAGTTTCTTCTTCATCGAGGTGGGCCGCTCGGCCGTCACGGGGCCTGGGGAGTTCTGGATGCAGGTGGAGGACTGCGTGGTGGCGCAGAACATGCACGAGACCATCCTGGAGGCGATGCGCGCCATGAGCGAGGAGTTCCGACCGCGGAGCAAGAGCCAGACGAGCGGCGGCGCGGGCGGCGCGGGCGGCGCTGCCGGAGGCCACCACCGGCGCCAGCAGCGCTACCAGCCCCCGCCGAGCCAAACGGGGCTCAACCGGCGCTCGCGGGCCGAGAGCGTGGCCGGAGCGTCCCCCGTGAGCGGCGGCGGCGGCGGCGTCACCCCGCAGGGCTTCTGCGCCTCGCAGCTGCGGAACCGCGCGAGCAGCGAGGGGGACGGACCCCCGGGCGCGCCGCGCTCCGAGTCCGCGGACGCCATCTCGGCGCGCCTCCTTCTCCTGCAGGGGGAGGACGCCGAGGGCCGGCTACAGTCCTCTCAGCTGGTGTGCGCGGGGCGCCGGCAGCAGCAGCAGCACCACCACCAACACCACCAGCACCACCAGCAGCAGCAGCAGCATGGGCAGGTAATCGCATCGTACCAGCGGCATCAGTCTCGCATGCAGCAGCAGCAAGGACATCTCCACCACCACCAACAGCAGCAGCAGCTGCACCACGCGGCGGCCACGCTGCTGCCCGGGCGCTCCGTGTCGGCGCCCATCGCGCGTTCCCCGCCCGCGGGTGGCTGCTCCCCCTCCTCCCTGCTGCTCTTCTCGGCATCGTCTCTCATCACGAGCCCCGTGAGCGTCTCCTCCAGCAGCGGCCGCGGCTCCGTGGACGCCCCGTGCTGCGTGGGCAGCCTGGGCAGCACCGGGGGCGGCGGGGCCGGCAGCGGCGGTGGCGTTGGCGGCGCGGCCGGACACGCGGCAGTCGGCGCGGGTGGCTGCGGGGCCGCGGCGCTGCCCCGCGGCTCTCGCCCCTCGAGCGCCTCCATGTCGCTCGGCTCCCTGAGCGACGGGGGCTTCGTGTCCTCGGACGAGTACGGCTCCAGCCCCTGCGAGCCGCGGGGGTCCGCGACCCCCGACTCGCCCAGCCCGACCCCGTGCGCCATCCGCGAGGAGGAGGAGGAGGCGGCCGCGGCGGCCGCGGCGGCGGCGGCGAGGGGAGGCCCCTACGCCTACATGCAGATGGGCCGCGCTCGCGTCTACAGGGCCGCGCCCCGCGGGCAGGACGCCCCGGACGTGGCCACCACCTCGTCCACCACCTCGTCCACCTCCCCCGGCTTCCCCTTAGCCTCGTCCTCGTCGCAATCGCCGTCGGCGGCGGCGGCCGCAGTTGCGGCGGCCCTGGCCTCGGCGGAGAAGGGGGTCGTGCGTAAGCGAACATACTCGTGCGCGTCGGCGTCCGCGGGGCCCGCGATGCCACCGGCCGCGCTCGGGCCCTGTCTCCAGCAGCGGGAGCAGGAGAAGACAGCCTCGCAGGAAGAGTATGCGGTCATGGGAGCGCTGTCTTACCAACACCACCACCAGCATCATCAGCAGCACCTCCAGCAGCAGCATCATCAGCAGCAGCAGCAGCACGTGCCGGGCCGTGAGGCCGCCGCGCCTCCGTGCTGCCCGCACACTCGCGACCCGCACCACGGCGACCACGACGATGATTATGACGATGACGACGATGATGGGGGTGGTGGCGACGACGAGGAGGATGATGATGCGGGTGGAGGAGGAGGAGGAGGAGGAGGAGGAGGGGGAGGCGTGCGGTCCAGGCTGGTGCGCGGCGGGGATGACGGCTACATGCCCATGCTGCCCGGCGTCACCGCCTCCGTCGCGGGAAGGTGCAGGAGCGGCGGCGATGCGGACTACGTGCCCATGGGGGCCACGGGTGCCCGAGACGGGGACATCACCGCAGCCGCCGCCGCCACCACCACGACGGCAGCGGCCAGAGGATCGCTGATACAACATCAGCAGAGGCAGCGGCACCATCACCACCATCACCAACAGCAGCAGCCGTGGCAGCGCGGCCAAGACGGTCTCTGCGACGCGCGGCCCCAGGACGCTGCTAGCGGCTACATGGTGATGTCACCGGGCACGGGCGAGGGCCAAGCGGCCGGGTCCATCAAGACGTGGCCCAGGCCCAGCGTGGCCAGCGGCAGCGGCGGCGGCGGCGGTGGCGTCGGCGCGAAGGCGGCATGTGAGGGGAGCGTGGAGGCAGGCCCGCCGGGAGCAGGCGACTATATGAACATGGCCATGTCGCCCTCCAACCCGGCCGTCGTGGCGGACACAGCGGCTGTGCCAGAGGGCTGCTACTTCAGCCCCATGCGGGATGGGGAAGGCGCGGGTGGTGCTGGTGGTGCTGGTGGTGCTGGTGGTGGTGCTGCTGGCACCGCCAACACCGCTGGTAGCTGCAGCAGCAGCTTCTACTCGCTGCCCCGGTCCTTCCGGTCCGTGGGGCAGCAGAGTAGCAGGCTGGCGGAGAGGACGGCGGCAACTCGGCTACTCGGGGAGGTCATCCGGGAGGCGAGGGACGCGGGCGAGATGCTCGCCGCTCCGACCCCCACGAGCAGGCCCGCCGCGCTCTCCCGGCCCCACGAGGACGCCTCGAGCAGTGACCCCGGGAGGGAGGGCGGCGCGCACGTGAGCGGGGCCCCAAGGCGGGTCGGGGGAGCGGCGGCGGAGGGGGTCGCCGCGAGGAACGCACAGGGCCGGTGGCAGGGAGCTCCCCCCGAGCCCAGGAGCCCCGGGGAGTACGTGCACATCGACTGCGCCGCGGCGGCGAAGGCGGCCTCCCAGCCCGTCTCATCGTCGTCCGCCTGGCGCCCCCCGCAGCACGCGGCAGGGCCGCAGCAGGGCAAGGCCCCGGACGGTTGCCGCGCAGCGCACCGCGGCCCCCCGTACCTGGCGCTGTCGTCGGGAGGCGCCGCCGCCGCCGCCGCTGCCGCCGCCGCCTCGGCCGCGGCCGCCCAGACGCGCGGCGATCGTCGGAGAAGGAGTGCAAACGAGTACATGAGCGTGGCGGCAGCGGCGCGTGCCGGGGGACCACCCGCGTCCGTCCCGGCGGGCCCCCGTTCCGCGGCCCATCCTGGGCCGTGGGACGCCACCTCGGCTGGGCGCGGCGCCCCCGTGGGGGGGGACTACACGGAGATGTCGCGCCGCGGGGAGGCGAGCGCGGAGGAGGAGGAGGAGGCGGCAGGGAGGAGGAGGAGAGACGCGAGTGGGGGGTACTCAGCCCCCGCCGCCTCTTACAGGGCTCCTCACGGCAGCTACAACCTTCAGCATCACCACCACGGGAGCCACAACCACATCCACCACTATCAGCTGCTGCAGCAGCAGCATAAGCCACTCCCTCTCCCACAGCAGCAACAACATCAACACTATCACCAACAGGAGCATCATCATCAGCACACTCAGCAGCAGCATCAGCCGCACGCAGCAGTGAGGCCCGGATATGCGGCACTGAAACCCTGCGTGCCGCCAAGGGTCGGCTTGGCCTTCCAGCCGTACGCGGCCGGGTCTGGCGCGGTGGTCATCCCGGCCACAACCGGAGCCACCGCCGCACCACCACCACCTCCTCCCCCTCCTCCTCCACCAGCGGCGCTGCGCCGGCAGAGCGCGTTCAGCGTGGTGCCACCAGCAGCCGTGCAGCACGGTGCCACGCGGCCCGGGACCGCGGCCACGGCGGATGAGGAGGGGGAGGAGCGGCCACGCGGCGGCGTGGCCCGGGTGGCGGTGGCCTCGTCGGCCGCCGCGACCCCGCAACGGCCCGGCGCGGCCGGAGGACACCATGGGGCGGGTCCGGTGCGAGAAGCCGCCGGGTCTCACTCTTTGCGTCATCAGCAGCAGCATCATCAGCAGCAGCAACAGCAGCAGCATCATCAGCAGCAACAGCAGCAGCATCATCAGCAGCAACAGCAGCATCAGCAGCAGCTGGAGAGCGGGCTGAACTACATCGCGCTGGACCTGCGGGGCGAGGAGGGCTCGGCGGGCAGCAGGGGTAGCGTGAGCAGCGTTGACTCAAACGGCTACGCCACCATCGACTTCTCCCGCTCCGAGAGCGCGGGGTGACGCGGTGAGTCGCGACTCACTCACCCCGAGACTCACCCCGAGACTCACCTTGACCACACTCACCCTGGTACCCACCCTGGCAGTCATCTTGACGAGACTCATCCTGACCTCACGTCGAGACTACCTTGACAATCACCCTGACACTCACCCAGAGACTCACTCCGAAGGGACACCTCATCCTCACGAGACTCACCTGAACGAGACTCACACAAGTACTCACCCTGACGAGACTCGCCCATAATTCACCCCGAGACTCACCACGAGTCTCAGCCTGAGACTCACCTCGTGGCTCTCTCAAGGGGCTCACTCAGAGTCTCACCTTTAGACTCGCTCACAGACTCACCCCGAGGCTCACCCCGAGGCTCACCCCGTGACTCACACGGACACTCACCCAGAAACACACCTGGAGCCTCACGCGGACATGTACTGAGATACGCTGTCCAATAATCGAGTGTTAGCCCCTCCCCTTGGCACGCGTGGGGGTTTCTCCGGGCACTCCTCCCTCCCACGTGTGTAGTCGAATACGTGGTCGAGGAATGTTGGCAGACAGCCCCAGTACGTACAGGACCACAGAGCTTGGGCATTTGTTGGTCGCGCGCCGGATCTGGCGGCCTTCCAGCTCAGCTGTGGTTTCCCATGCCGCGAAATCATTCTCTCTCTCTCTGAACAATTCTCTCTCTCTGAACCATTCTCTCTCTCTGAATCATTCTCTCTCTCTGAACCATTCTCTCTCTCTGAATCATTCTCTCTCTCTGAATCATTCTCTCTCTCTGAATCATTCTCTCTCTCTGAATAATTATCTCTCTCTGCACCATTCTATCTCTCTGAATCATTCTCTCTCTCTGAACCATTCTCTCTCTCTGAATCATTCTCTCTCTCTGAATCATTCTCTCGCTCTGAATCATTCTCTCTCTCTGAACCATTCTCTCTCTGAATCATTCTCTCTCTCTGAATCATTCTCTCGCTCTGAATCATTCTCTCTCTCTGAACCATTCTCTCTCTGAATCATTCTCTCGCTCTGAATCATTTTCTCTCTCTGAATCATTCTCTCGCTCTGAACCATTCTCTCTCTCTGAATCATTCTCTCTCTCTGAATCATTCTCTCTCTGAACCATTCTCTCTCTCTGAACCATTCTCTCTCTCTGAATCATTCTCTCTCTGAATCATTATCTCTCTCTGAATCATTCTCTCTCTGAATCATTCTCTCTCTGAATCATTCTCTCTCTCTGAACCATTCTCTCTCTCTGAATCATTCTCTCTCTCTGAACCATTCTCTCTCTCTCTGAATCATTCTCTCTCTCTGAATCATTCTCTCTCTGAACCATTCTCTCTCTCTGAATCATTCTCTCTCTCTGAATCATTCTCTCTCTCTGAACCATTCTCTCTCTCTGAATCATTCTCTCTCTGAATCATTCTCTCTTTGAATCATTCTCTCTCTGAATCATTCTCTCTCTGAACCATTCTCTCTCTGAATCATTCTCTCTCTGAATCATTCTCTCTCTCTGAATCATTCTCTCGCTCTGAACCATTCTCTCTCTCTCTCTGAACCATTCTCTCTCTGAACCATTCTCTCTCTCTCTGAACCATTCTCTCTCTCTGAATCATTCTCTCTCTCTGAATCATTCTCTCTCTGAATCATTCTCTCTGAATCATTCTCTCTCTGAATCATTCTCTTGCTCTGAATCATTCTCTCTCTGAACCATTCTCTCTCTGAATCATTCTCTCTCTGAATCATTCACTCTCTGAATCATTCTCTCTCTGAATCATTCTCTCTCTCTGAACCATTCTCTCTCTCTGAATCATTCTCTCTCTGAATCATTCTCTCTCTGAACCATTCTCTCTCTCTCTGAATCATTCTCTCTCTCTGAATCATTCTCTCTGAATCATTCTCTCTCTGAATCATTCTCTCACTGAATCATTCTCTCTCTGAATCATTCTCTCTCTGAATCATTCTCTCTCAGTGAATCATTAACTCTCTGAATCATTCTCTCTCTCTGAATCCTTCTCTCTCTCTGAATCATTCTCTCTCTCTGAATCATTCTCTCTATGAATCATTCTCTCTCTCTGAATCATTCTCTCTCTCTGAACCATTATTAATCTCTGAATCATTCTCTATCTCTGAATCATTCACTCTCTGAATCATTCTCTGCCTGAATTATTCTCTCTCTGAATCATTCTCTCTGAATCATTCTCTCTCTGAATAATGATCCCTCACTGAATCATTCTCTCTCTCTGAACCATTCTCTCTCTCAATCATTCTCTCTCTCTGAATCATTCTCTCTCTGAATCATTCTCTCTCACTGAACCGTTCTCTCTCTGAATCATTCTCTCTCTGAACCATTCTCTCTCTCTCTCTCAATCATTCTCTCTCTCTGAATCATTCTCTCTCTGAATCATTCTCTATCTCTGAATCATTCTCTCTCTCTGATTCATTCTCCCTCTCTGAATCATTCTCTCTCTCAATCATTCTCTCTCTGAATCATTCTCTCTCTGAATCATTCTCTCGCTCTGAACCGTTCTCCCTCTCTGAATCATTCTCTCTCTCTGAATCATTCTCTCTCACTGAATCATGAACTCTTTGAATCATTCTCTCTCTGAATCCTTCTCTCTCTCTGAATCATTCTCTCTCTGAATCATTCTCTCTCTGAATCATTCACTCTCTGAATCATTCTCTGTCTGAATTATTCTCTCTCTGAATCATTCTCTCTGAATCATTCTCTCTCTGAATAATGATCTCTCACTGAATCATTCTCTCTCTGAACCATTCTCTCTCTCAATCATTCTCTCTCTCTGAATCATTCTCTCTCTGAATCATTCTCTCTGAATCATTCTCTCTCTCTGAATCATTCTCTCTCACTGAACCGTTCTCTCGCTCTGAATAATGATCTCTCCCTGAATCATTCTCTCTCTGAATAATGATCTCTCTCACTGAATCATTCTCTCACTGAATCATTCTCTATCTCTGAATCATTCTCTCACTGAATCATTCTCTCTCTGAATCATTCTCTCACTGAATCATTCTCTCTCACTGAATCATTCTCTCTATCTGAATCATTCTCTCTCTCTGAATCATTCTCTCACTGAATCATTCTCTCTCTGAATCATTCTCTCTGAATCATTCTCTCTCTGAATCATTCTCTCTCTGAATCATTCTCTCACTGAATCATTCTCTCTCTCTGAATCATTCTCTCACTGAATCATTAACTCTCTGAATCATTCTCTCTCTCTCTCTGAATCCTCTCTGAATCATTCTCTCTCTCTGAATCATTCTCTCTATGAATCATTCTCTCTCTCTGAATCATTCTCTCTCTCTGAACCATTATCAATCTCTGAATCATTCTCTATCTCTGAATCATTCACTCTCTGAATCATTCTCTGCCTGAATTATTCTCTCTCTGAATCATTCTCTCTGAATCATTCTCTCTCTGAATAATGATCCCTCACTGAATCATTCTCTCTCTCTGAACCATTCTCTCTCTCAATCATTCTCTCTCTCTGAATCATTCTCTCTCTGAATTATTCTCTCTCACTGAACCGTTCTCTCTCTCTGAATCATTCTCTCTCTCTGAACCATTCTCTCTCTCAATCATTCTCTCTCTCTGAATCATTCTCTCTCTGAATCATTCTCTATCTCTGAATCATTCTCTCTCTCTCTGATTCATTCTCCCTCTCTGAATCATTCTCTCTCTCAATCATTCTCTCTCTTGAATCATTCTCTCTATGAATCATTCTCTCGCTCTGAACCGTTCTCCCTCTATGAATCATTCTCTCTCTCTGAATCATTCTCTCTCTCTGAATCATTCTCTCTCACTGAATCATGAACTCTTTGAATCATTCTCTCTCTGAATCCTTCTCTCTCTCTGAATCATTCTCTCTGAATCATTCTCTCTCTCTGAATCATTCACTCTCTGAATCATTCTCTGTCTGAATTATTCTCTCTCTGAATCATTCTCTCTGAATCATTCTCTCTCTGAATAATGATCTCTCACTGAATCATTCTCTCTCTGAACCATTATCTCTCTCAATCATTCTCTCTCTCTGAATCATTCTCTCTCTGAATCATTCTCTGTCTGAATCATTCTCTCTCTCTTAATCATTCTCTCTCAATGAACCGTTCTCTCTCTCTGAATCAATCTCTCTCTCTGAACCATTCTCTCTCTCAATCATTCTCTCTCTCAGAATCATTCTCTCTCTCTGAATCATTCTCTATCTCTGAATCATTCTCTCTCTCTCTGAATCATTCTCCCTCTCTGAATCATTCTCTCCCAATCATTCTCTCTCTGAATCATTTTCTCTCTGAATCATTCTCTATCTCTGAATCATTCTCTTGCTCTGAACCGTTCTCCCTCTCTGAATCATTCTCTCTCTGAATCATTCTCTCTCTGAATCATTCTCTCTCTGAATAATTCTCTCACTGAATCATTCTCTCTCTGAATCATTCTCTCACTGAATCATTCTCTCTCACTGAATCATTCTCTCTATCTGAATCATTCTCTCTCTCTGAATCATTCTCTCACTGAATCATTCTCTCTCTGAATCATTCTCTCTCTGAATCATTCTCTCTCTGAATCATTCTCTCACTGAATCATTCTCTCTCTCTGAATCATTCTATCTCTCTGAATCATTCTCTCTCTGAATCATTCTCTCTCTGAATCATTCTCTCACTGAATCATTCTCTCTCTGAATCATTCTCTCTCTGAATCATTCTCTCTCTGAATCATTCTCTCTCTGAATCATTCTCTCTCTGAACCATTCTCTCTCTCTGAATCATTCTCTCTCTCTGAATCATTCTCTCTCTGAACCATTCTCTCTCTCTGAATCATTCTCTCTCTCTGAATCATTCTCTCTCTCTGAACCATTCTCTCTCTCTCTGAATCATTCTCTCTCTGAATCATTCTCTCTCTGAATCATTCTCTCTCTGAATCATTCTCTCTCTGAACCATTCTCTCTCTGAATCATTCTCTCTCTGAATCATTCTCTCTCTCTGAATCATTCTCTCGCTCT